AAAAAAAAAAATTGAAAAAATTGAAAAAATGGGACGGCGGGTAATGCAAAACGAAAAATCAACTTTGCGTGGCCTTATTAAATCTCCATACCTAAATATAGTGAACAATGCTAGGCTTGTTATGATTACAGATCATCCTGCAAGTACAAAAACCAAAAATCTAAAGTTTTACCAAAAACTGAATATCTTACCGAAAATTGAAAATTTACCAAAGTTCTAAGAAAGTTCCGTAAACAATGCTGAAGTTCATTTTGCTGAAGGTAATGCATTCAATCAGAATGGAGAATGTCTAGTCTAGAAAATAGGTAAATATATATAATATATATATGTGTATATTCTGTATATTTTGGTAGCATTTACAATTTAATAGGAGTAAAAATAGTGATTTCGACAGCGTGTGGGTTCAATGTTTTAACAATTTTAACAGTGAGTGGATTCATGAATTCAATAATGGGCAGATTCACAATTTAGTAGTGAATATTTCAATAATGGGCGGGTTCTCGACTTCGGTGAGTTCATCTTTTCAATAATATCCTTGATCAAAATTTATATTTAATTAATTTCCTATTGACGGTTACGACGAATAATGATTTTAGATATGGCATGCAAAATTATGAAATTATATATTTATATTGAATTCTTGATTAAGAAGCGCTCCTCATCAGGTAATTTTACATGTGAGCCACGATTGAAAAGAATGCATCGTTTGCAACCATGGTAATAGTTGGTAGTTCATTTGACAATTAATAGGTTAGTGATTTCAACAATGAATAGGTTATAATAGTAGATAAATTAATAAGTTATAGCGTATCCTGACTTTTGTTCCAGAAATTTTTTTTTTTTTTTTTGAACAAAACATATATGAATTCCCAGTCATTTCCATTGAACCCGGGTAAAAATCAAATCCGGATAAGATTCGGCTTCTGATTCTATGAAATGCCCGGAAAAATCTGGAGAAAGTCTTTCGAAATAGGCGCAACCAAAACTAAGATAAGAAATAATAAATTTACTAGCCAATTACATTATGTTTCGGATAACATTATTTAATGAGTGGGTTATTGGTTGCTTATTAAAATTTTAGATAAAATTTGTCAATGCCACCCGCTTTAATAGATTTTAACCCAGAATTTTGAAAATCAGCCAAACTTTAACTTTGTAATTAATATGGTATACGTTTTTATAAACTTAACAAAACTGAAAACTCGTCGTTCAACGACGGATCCAGTATCTAGTTACATTAAAAATATACACAAATCAACTACCGATAAAAATATTCTATTCAAGGTCATATAATTAATTTTTTTTCATTGTAATTTTCTTTACTAGAAAACGCATCAGCATCCTGTTTAGCTTTCTCAACATCAATTGTGCCAAAAACTAAAGCGGGCAAAAAAATTATTACAAGTAAAAAATATATAAGGGCTTCTTATATTATGAGTATAATTTACTATAATTCCCGATACAATAGTCCCTACATTATTATAAGAATTTTAATTAATATAGTTACGTAAGTTTAGAATTTAAAATTTTTTTAAAAAAAAATTTTTTTACCTATCCAACTTGAACCCTATTTGTATTAAAAATGAAATAAGAATGTTTAGGAACGTACAGTAATAAGAGACAGTAACAAGTCAAGATAAAAAAAAGCTTTTTGATAAATCACCTTTGAAGTCATTTGAAACAAAGAAAAAAATTCATTTTCATGTCCAACAGGTATCATAATAGCGAAGAAAGCTCGGCAATAATTATTTATTGAACCAATAGAAATTCCGAACCATATCAAGTACATCCAAATCTCCCATTTGTTTTTTGCTCCGAATGGTAACCAAAAACCCAATATTACATATAGTGGTAATATACTTGCAAATATACAAGAAATTACAACGATCTTTTTTTCAGTCAAATGAAATAATTTTTGTAAATATAAAAATATAGATATGCCAATTATTTCGAATAATGGAACTAGTGCTGACATTAGAGCGATCTCTGCGTCGGTCAATCCAAGTTGTTTTCTACCGAGCAGAACACCGACTACTATTAATGTGTTTACACCATCAGATATAAAAAACCAGCCAAAAAGACATTTCATAGTTTGCCAGAGTGAACGAGTTGATAACAAGGTTTTTCCCACACGTTTCCAAGAGTATAATAAATAATTTTCACCACTATTAAGCATTAATTACATGTATTAGCATTAGTATAATTCAAAACTCAATAATAAAGTAGCAGGAAAGATAAATACCTTGGCAAAGGAGGTTTTGGTCTCTTAGTTAACCACATTGCCGGAAATATTAATAGAATCTAAATAATTCATATAATTTTTCTTTTTAATGTTTACATTTATATATTTCGATCAATAAGTTTGATATTTGACACATACCAACCAACAAGAACCAGCAAATACTAATGCAATTTGAATGGCATATGGAGAGTCTTTTAATAATACGAGAATTCCACCAGTAGCAAACATTACTATCATAATAGCAAAAATTGCCACAATTAATGATTTTGATGAGAATTTAACGGTCATTTTATCCTCCAACTTTTTAATTTCGGAGATAGGAACATCTGAATTTTTTGCATCTATGACCTTTGGATGATTTCGAGCAAATATTGGGATATATGCAATAGTAAAGATGTTTGATGCACCGTAACAACAATTTCTGAATAATTTAATTATTATGAGTACATAAATTTTTAAAAAATTTTTTGACCAAAAATTTACGATATAAAACTTACGATATGATAGCGAATACTCCAGCCAACAAATATAGTTCTGTTGGAATTTTTTAAGAGAGTTTATAAGTAAATAAGTACAATGATTGTTACACTTTGTTATACTTTTATTTTAAAAGTAACACATAAACAACAGTGTTAGATGCAATTATGCTAGAGGAGATACGTACGAGGACCGGTAACAGTTATAAACAAAATTGTTGTGATGGCACCTATAAAGCCATAAAATAAGGCGAATATTTTTTGCATATCTAAAATAACGCATAAAGTTTTTTTTAATCTTAAATGTTTATTATTATTTATAAAATAAATTTAAGTACCATATATGCTTACTTCCATGATCGGCCAAAGAACCGCAACTAATGAATAAGATTGTTTGTACTAATACTGATATTGAAATCATGTATAATGAATACGAGTTGGTATCGATAAAACCTGTACCAAAACGCACAACACAATTATAATTTGCAACTGTCTATTAATTAATTAATCAATTAGAATATTTAATTGTAAAGAAACTACATGTAATATAAAATACTTGCCGTGTTACATGGAGTCACAAGATCAAGTTCATATCCAGCCTGACCGGATAGATTTTCCAAGAGTAAAGGAATGAGCACTATATTCACAAGTATGTATAAATAAGAATTTATATCCAAGTATCTCATATTTAGTGGAAAAAGAATTTACCTCCTATTGGAGCACCACCATAAACCCCGTTCTACGAAGAACAAATTTATCTTAAATTTTCTAATATTGTAAAAATATTTATTGCCACAAAATAAATGAATTATTATTTTTTTTTAATAAGGAATGGTTGGTCAGAAACTTACTGCTGCAGAAAGAAAATACCATCCTATCGATTCTCTTTTTGTTAAGGGTGTCAACTTACCATTGACTGTACTAGAATTATCTTCTTTGTCTGAATTTTCCAAATTCATTACGATAATAATATCCTAAAGATAATTTGTTTTTTTTAGGTATGATATTAGAATTCAATTGATTGCTTTTATAATGTGGTAAACTTTTTGCTACTATTAATAATCGCACGTTTTATGTATAATCTCAAACAATACTACAGTACTAATGTTTAAGTTTAAAACGTACTTATTTCTAGTGCATGTACATGCATATGCATAATGTATCAGAAGTGGGTACAATTAATTCATAGAAAAGTTCATTTTGAAGAGTTTATTAGGGATGTTAAATTGCGAATCCAGTCCGGTCCGATCCTAGGATCTAAAAAGACGGTCCTGGATTCGGTCTTGAAAATACAATACATTTTATATGACTTAGATCCTGCATCAGATACTGAATTGAATTCATCAAATAAGTTAATCCAATCAAATTAATTTTGTATTGTTATAATAATTCAATTCAGAATCTAAGTCTTATAAAATGTATTGTGTTTTCATGTGATTTAAGGATCGAATCCCTACCAATCCTTGAAGGATCGGACCGGACCGGTCAGGATTCGATCCCAAAGGACCGATTAACATCCCTAGAGTTTATTTTACAGACAGTGTATTTTATAAACAATCTTTCACAACGAATAACTTCTGATCTATTGGCTAAAGCGATTGATTTGATGAGATGTTATTTTGGTGATCAAATTATCCAAAATAAATTAGTAGATTAGAAGTTATTCACAAAGATTATTTATAAAATAACTGTCTGTAAATTATTATCCGGGCTTTGATTATTAAGAACTTTGTAGTGCTTTTATGGTACTCAAATTAACTATGTACTCTATAAATTTGAATACAACGATACGGTGAACTGGTACTCTTTTCAAATAACCGACCACATTGACGTAAGATAGTTTAGTCATAATTTTGTAATAAGCTTACTGTATCCTTAAACCGTAAGCTGATGCAGGCAAATTTGCCTGCAAAAATTTATCCAATATTTACCCCGTTAAAAGTCCTGTGTTTAAATGATCTAATCATGTTATGGATGTGCTGTTTAGAATTTGTCGGATATCGAAAATTTTAAATTTCATTTATTGGTTTAATCCGTCAAGTATACACCCGATAATACCACGTAATTTATACATATGCGGCTTTTACAGGGGTTATTTCACCAAGCCGAAGAGAAAATAAAGACAATGCGCTATTAAAAATGGCTAGAAGTAGTATCAGCTAAAAGCTCTGCAATTAGTATGCCCAGTATTCGTATTACTTAAGTTGACATAATGATTTATGTAAGTTGTACTAGCAAAAACAGGTTTGATCAAAAATTTGCAAAACGGTTTAACGTTAAGCATTTTATTTAATCGGACTACGTATTAATGTTGTAAATCATAATAGAGCTCGGAATCACCTTAGATTAGAACAGAACAGAATAATTATACCAAAAATCCCAACCTTTTAACCTTAAAAATTCCGAATCTTAAAATTCGATTAATTATAGGGGATAAATTTATTTGTGAAATAATGACATCATAATAAAAACTTTTTAGGATTAGTGTAAACTGACAAATCATAACTAATTCAATAAAGTTATGACACACCATAGTCTCGCATCTATATTAAACGATTGCTATTTTTTATTTTTTTTTCTTTATAGCCGCTATTGTCGAACAAGCCAAAGAATCAAAAGTTTACATAATAACTATGCGATAACCAAGAGTCCGTATAATTTCACAATCACTTCACCGACAGCTCATTTAGCCGACATCACGCCAGGTGAAATTTAGTAAAAATATATACCTGCAAATAATCAAATGCTTAACCCTAACCCTATGTGATGTCGGCTAAATGAAATGATTGTCGGTAAATTGATCGGAACCGGATAACACAATACACATTACGTAAATGCATACTATATCTTCTGAAGCCACACACAAATAAAGTTCACACGATGCTTAAACTATATCATAAATGGAAAAAAGTGATAACCATAATACCTTCTAAAGTAGGAAAAATATATAGCTAACCAAAAAGTTGAAAGGGGAACCATCCCTCACATATTTCACATGATCGTACTGGTATTACACTGCGCAGCCTCTCAAAAGTTCTACGCAGCTGCGTAGTGGCCTATTGACATCTCCGTATTGTGTTTGTTTAGCTCAATTGGTAATGATCTGCAAGTTCAGCATATGTATACGTATCACGATATTGCCGATCCCCTTAACGTCTTCAACATGATTGCTTTACCAAACGAATGCCTTGCTGAAATATTTGTTAAACTTAATAAAAATAACTTATTTCCATGTCTTCTTGTAAACCGTCATTGGTGTAGAAATGTTGTCCCAGTATTATGGAGCAAAGTAGCTACTTTAGAAAATAAAAAATTGATAAGAACATTTCTTTTAGCTTTAAACGCTGAAGAACAAGCACCATTAATACCATTTAAAGTAAAACTTCCGAATGGTCCAAAATTATTATTTGATTATACTTCTTATATTACAAGTATCAATGTTTCTTTATGCAGAGGAATTGTAGATTGGTTTAATGATGAAGGATGTGAATCTCGTAGTTTGACTTCTTCCATCAAGAATAATGTGACTCAGGCAATTAAATTTTCTTTAATTACAATGCTTTCACGAACAACTCTTAATCTTCAAAAAGTAATAATTGATGACTTTATTGAGGATAAAGTAATGGATTTATTGACTAAAAGCTCTACTTTATCTCATTTAAGTATTTTTAAGTGTTATCTTGGCTCAAAAGGCTGTAATATGTTAGCAGAGGCTCTTTATACAAATAGAACTTTAACTCATTTATGTATTGCTTCTAGCAAACTTTATTCTGAAAGTGAAAAATCATTAGCAGATGCTTTTTGTAAAAACACTACTTTGACCTCTTTAACATTTCATGGTACTCGACTTGGTGCTGAAAAGGGAAAGGTATTTGCTGAAATTCTTTGTAAGAATACCACTCTAACTGATTTAAATCTTTATGGTAATAAGCTCGGCTTTGAGGGTGTAAATGCATTAGCTGATGCTCTTTGTGAGAATGTCACTTTAACCACCCTAAATCTTGGATATAATAATATCGATATTGAATCGGTAAAATCATTAGCAAAAGTTTTTTATAAGAACTCTATTTTGGTCTCTTTAAATCTTTCAGCTAATTGTATTAATTCTAAAGGTGGTAAAATATTAGCAGAGGCTCTTTTTACAAATACTACTCTAACATCTTTAAACCTTTCTTTTAATAGTATCGATAGTAAAGTTGTTAGTCGAATTAATAAGTTACTTGAAAGAAATAAACATTTCTTATGTTCAGAAAATGATCGTTAAGGATATGCGGGATATACATTGTGATGGTTATTTATTCATTACGTAGTTTATATGAGAAGTTATTATTATTGTTCTGAAAGATACTATACAATTAAAATAATTTGTGGTAAATAGTTATTTCTAGTTCTAGATAAAAATGGTAAAATTTATTTTAATAGATTTTTTCAACCAGCATATGTTGTAAAAAAAATCATTCACATATGTTATAAAAAAAAATCATTAAATAACAAGTATTAATCAGACGAAAATATTAAACAGAATTTAGCATTGAAAGTTCAATTATAAAAAATTCCTTCTTTTAAAAATAAGCTCGATTGAATAAGTAAACATTCATCTACAGACTTTTAATCGTCTATATGTATGTTATTTTGAGAAATGATATTTCATATTTACGCACTAAATTATATAATGCATGTAAGCATTCACGTAAAAATAATAACAAATATAACACTATTTTCTGTTGAATAAGAGAAAAGATATTTATTAAACATCTATTTTTTAAAAAATAATTAAATATTCCAAAGTAAAAGGTCAAGACAAACATAGCTCAATAAGGTGTATCGGCGGAAATCAAAAAGTTTTTATATCTTAAATTTTCTGCTAATGCACTTAATGTCAAAATTAAGACCTACATAGTTACTTATTTAAGATATTAATTAATTTAAAATTGTACTAACACAAGAACAACCAATAACTGCGGCTTTAATAAATTTGCCAGTAGAGCTTTCATGTGTACTTGCTAATTCAATATCTAAATTTATTATATTAATAATAATTATAAATATTTAATAAATATATAAATTTAATATAAAATTTTTACTATTCCACAAGTTGACTAATTGATCTATTAAGGGTACCAAATAATAATTTAGTTAGTGAAAATTAGGTTTGTTGGGTCCAGGTATTAATACCAATATCAATATATTCGATGGCTTAAATCGCTCATCACGTAAAAGATTACAAATGACTTCATAGATTGCTTCTACACTATAATGCAAGCTATCATAAGGTTGGAACTAATCAAAATTAATCATCAGATCCAAATTACTATCCGATAGCTCTTTTCAGAAGTAAGGTAGATCTTCTCATGGATCTTGAAAAATTTTTTAAATTCTATCATCATATATATCAGAAAGTCAGTTTGGATCATTAATCCTTTTTAACCATTTTCTATATAATGTTTCAAATTCCTTCTAGTTGAACAACAATTGAAATTGGTGTTTTAAAAAAACTGTTAGATAAATTAATAATAGTCTATATATGACTCTTTTAGTTATAGACACTTTTTTGCAATATGATAATTGCAGAAGCATCTAAAATTGGCCATTGAGTGATTCAGAAATTCTTGAAAGATGTATTGGGTAACTTTAGAAGCTATATTTGCTTTTTCAGTTGACACATCAGCTGTATTATATAGTTTGTAATATTGTTCGCATGTTGCATATTTAATCATATAAGCACAGATGCCAAGATTTTTATATGCATATTCAATATTGAAGAAAAGGAGAAGTATGTATTTGCATTATGAAGAATTAAGAGATATCAGATAAATTGTACTAATGATTCAGTTGCTATATCAGTTAACTTGTACCTTATTTAAAATTTTAAGATCTACAAAATAATCTACAGAAAAGCTTTAAGGATATCTATAGGATCGATAGGCTGTTATATTTCATTCATAAGATTTTTTAGTGC